AATTGGAATTTTTAATATAAATTGGAATTTTTTAATTGAACATTCTTTTGAATCGTTTCTTTAAGTAATGTATAGACAGAATAACAAAGCTTTAGTTATGTAAATCGTTAAGTTTAATTAAATATAGAAAAGTTCTCAAATTATAAAAAAAAAAACAAATTATATTATTATATAAACGAATAAAACACAACATAATCAATCATACAATATGTATTTAATATAAGATACAGTACTTGTGACATGTGGACAAATCATATTTAAAAAAACCTTACATTCACTACATTGAACAAATTCAAAGGTTGAGATTAATTCGCTATTATTATGCCCAAATCTGTGATAAATTAATTGAGGTAGATCCCGCTCGGGGGTAAATTATATATAACGGATCACGATCCAGGGTCAAGCAAATAAGAACGCGTAAATATTATACTATATATAATTAAATATCTACAAATTGAATAAGTAGTGCACACTATTCGGAATACATTCCACGTACTATTGGATTTTTTTTAAAAATTTACAATAAAGAACATTTATAATAAACGCAATATAGGAAACATGTTGGAAACTCGCGTACCTACAACACCAACCGCGGCCGCGGGCCGCCATTCGTCCAGGCGCGAAGCAAATTACCCCTGCTTTAATACTTAGCAATAAATACTTATCTATTTACAATGGTAAAGCCTGACCAAAACCGCGAGAATTAAACTACCTTTTACCTACAATCTCGATACTACTTAGCCTAGTGGCGCCATCTGTTTCTGGTCAAGTTTTACACCTTTGTACATGCGCTTACGCAGCCGTAATATGATTCACGCCTTTCACTCATCCCGTATCAACATTCGAAATGCGTATCAGTCATAAAGGAAAATTGTATTTTTTTCCCAAAAAAAATAATATTTGTTCGTCAAACTAAGCGATGTTTTCCAATTAAATTAACATTAACTTAATTAACGCTTTCCTGAGCAAGTCGAGGCTCTCGCCCCGTGTCCAACTACACTCACGCTATGACTATTGTGGCAGTGATAAAAATATAGCTATCTTTCCAAATACTCCATTATAATTTACACGCCCGGTAAGATTTACGGTCACAAAATATCTCTCTGCCTAACGACTTGAACGGCTAATCTAATCTAAGCGATTATTTATCCCGCTACATATAAAAAAGTTTCAAAACACTAAAGTAACCGTCGTCTTAAAAAAATATAGCAAAATTAAATTTGTACTCGAAAGCTTTATAGGCCGAATTGTTAATTACGATCTTAAACATTGAAATATGAGCGAGATATTTATCGAAGAAGAAAACGGCGTCATTAGAGCTGCCACGTTTATTTACTTATATGGTATAGGTCTAAATTAAGTGACCGTACACAAAAATATGTCAAAAATAATGGCAGCACTATCCAGTTAGATATTATATTTAAATTTATTGCTTATATTTTAGAACAAGTACTGACGCCGTGTCCTGTCCTCGATGTCGGCCAAACTTGCAAACAAGCATAACTTGCCACTGCCGATTGAAAGAATGAGATCAAATAAGTCCACAAAATTGTTATCAATTTTGTCTTTCTGAATTTGGTGTCGAATTTGACTATTAAATTAATTTATACAAAGCGAGCCAATATTATGGCACTACTATCAGTGCTGGAAAAAAATTAGTCTAGTAGCGTTTAAATTTATTAAAAACAAAAATCAGTACATTGGAAGCTTTCCAAAAGAAATATTTGTAAGTAAAATTACGATACCACATCGACGTTCAGGCACCAACTTGACTACTATAACTTTTGAGAAATTTTCCTAACACTTCTTTGGGTCCATACCTACTAGGAATAAGTTCGAAATTGCATATCGCCGTCTCTCTCGTCGCCGCATATGAACGACGAGGACAGCAAATTTTACAATAACGAAGTTACTCAAGTTACAATTTTCTATTATAATATCGACTTTACAATTTCATATACAAGTCATTTGTATTGGGATATTTGACTGTTATATTTAAATTTCGTTAAAATAAAAAAAATAGACATAACTGAAAAGATCTTAGACCTCATCGAGAACAACTACAGCCAAGCACCCCAATAAATAATGACGTCATTCAATAAAATACTCTCTTAACCTTAGCACACTAGAGGGCGACGCATAATGAAATATGTCTGTCCCTTTCCCACAAACCTCTAAGCGAATGTTAGAAAGAGATGGCGATTGTATCGACATAATATATGGACATACCCTTATTTTAACTTCCAAACACGAACATTTGTAAAGACAAAGACAGTTTAAATGCAAACTGGATCTATCGTCCATATACAAAGTAGCATCAGGTATGAGGGTAGGTCCATATATCATCGACGCCATTTACTAACTTATATCTACAACTAAAGACACTAGCGAGATCGCGTGAGCACGGAACACAATGTTGTTTAAATTTTTCATTTAATCCCATTAAAAATCATTTATCTTGTATAATATTGTATACCTTACTTCTAAAAAGGCATTGACAACATCTGTATAGTGTTTATAAAAGTTCAACATCTAAATCTAGTTATTCTGCTATGGACAACACCGACATCATTTCTTCATTGGTTTTTGGTGAAGCAATGTGTTATATTGACAGCATTGTAAAATATACTTTATTCCACAAGGAATAAGAATCAAGGCAAAATTGCATAGAACTTAGTCACTTATGAAAATAAAATTGATCTACAATTACAAAACTTAAATGTTTGAACTAAGATTTTTCCTCTGATAACTGCTATAACCTAAACTCTTTACATACTGACAATAAAACAACTTACTTCACAATACTTTCTATACAGTATCATTCAATAGAAGGCGTTGATCAAGAAACAAAGAAAAAACATATTCCGTCATATGCAATGAGCTATTTAACGAAAAAAAAACAATACAAAAAAAAACGAAACAAAAATTTCCTAATGACTTGTACAATATATCTTCTCTTTATTTCTATCGTCATTAAAAATAATTTTGGTGTTTCATGTTTATATAATTTGTCTTTTTAAGGCCTTAGTTAGATCTGTAATAATCCTAGAGGTATAAACTTTCATAGAACAAAGTTGCATACAAAGATGCCTTATGAAATTACTAATTAAGACACCTTTTTCTATATATCAATTTTGTTCTAAGAAATATGAACATCCGTATATCTATTGTTCGTACATTTATTGCCATCAAAATGCTTCAATGGAACATTCGGAAGTCGAACCCTTACTAACACTGCTACACTATCGGGTCGACACTTACAAAAACGCAGTTAAAAACTTGTGCGTGAAAAATAATATCGGTTATCTAATCAAATATCTTATCACATATTGTTTATTGCTATAAAATCGTCGATGCTAAGTTATTTCGTAGAACTAAAACACAACTTTAATGGCAGTGAGTGTTGTGCCACACTCGGATACATTGACCGGTGTTATTAATAGTACAGTAACACGTAAGACGTATTACTTCATAATATATATTATTATCGTTCAATATTCGTTATGAAACTTAATTTTTCTTCTTAAAAATGGATAAACCATTAAAATCAAATCGCTCATTATGATAGTTTACTTATATTCGTTTTAGAAACCTACAATGAAATTAAGTTGCATGATTATGTAAAATACGATGCAAGTATCCGAATGTGAAACATAAATATATCGAATGATAGACAGTTGTTGATTCTGTCAAACAATACTTTTCACACGCAAGGGAGTAAAAACGTATCAAAACCTGTCTAATACTATCTGCTTGATATGACTACGCGTAAAACCTGATATAAAGTGAACACGGCTAATGTATGACCGCGCAGTGTTGCCAACTTGTTATGGAGCTTATTACATGTAAAATTACATGTAAACTTTTAATGTTTTCTAAAATGTCTGTTTATATAAAAAAAAATACTTATAATATCTAAAATCGATGATACTTAAATTTGAATATTTTTTTTATCATTGACGGTTGATTTGTTGTATTTTGTGTCATTAAATGTTTTATTTTTTAAGTTATCTCACGGTTGGCAACACTGCACTTGGACTACGTAGAGGCACTTGGTGATACTCGATCACACGCTTAACCGAACTACATCAAAACCTAGTAAAGTTGGCACCTCGGAAGCAAAAGCGATATACGTACAAGGGCTACCAACTTACGAAACAAAATAATGGGATCACGTTGTTTTATTTTACACTCCCAATATAAACACTAATTACGCACAAATCGCGTAAGAGTCACAGCGTTATATTTTATTACGCCTAATTCCACCAAATCAGCAATTGGCAACCCAATACGCTCAGAATATCGATATGCGAACTCAAAACATCAAAAAAGCCGAAAACAAAAATTCCGATACTAATAACACTAACTATGTACACTGGCAGTGATGCTAAACGCTGGTCGTTCACGCTTAAACCTAACTTAATACTACTCAGACTACTCCGTCGTGAATAAACTAAAAACTCGCCTAATTTACACGTCCACCCTAACTTTATACATTTCCTATATATATACACATTTGTTTGATCGAAACATCGATTTTTCGCAATCGATACCCTTCAATATCATATAAAAAGTAAGTCAGTCTTGTTTTCAACGTTGAATGGACACGCTAGCTACGAGCGATCGACGAATCTTTGGCGATTATCGATTAGCTATATCGGATATCGTCGATCGAAGAATCAACATCTGTCTCGAACAGCGCTACGTTACGCGTGAACCGTTCACTATACAACTTTGCGTTTATAAACACAGACCAACATCGTACCAGCAATATTGAGATCAACAAGCAACAAACCAGTAAAACCTCACTGATATATCTTAACAATCTGGATTTACAAACACAAAATAAGACATTCCACGTACAATATACAACACGCGCAATTTAAGTTGACTGGAGTGAAGTTCGTAACAACCTCCATCAAAGTCCATAGAAACGTCAATTGTGACACTCGCGCTAACTTCAGACCGGTCGACTTAAACCGCTCGAATCGCTAGCACTATCGTCCGCACGGCATGAAACAATTGCCGCCGTAGCGTCTGCCCATCTTGCGTTTCTTTGCTCCTGACACCTCCACCCTGTCTATGTCTTCCTGGTACTCCATCGGCATGTTGGTGGCGCTGCAGTTGCTTCTTTCCTTGCGTTGCTTTGCTATTAGGTTGTTTAGTACTCGCGACGACGTACACTGTCGTGCCGGCAGCAGACGAACTGGTTGTGAATTTGCCGCGGGTGCTTTCCTTGAAGGCGGCGGGGATGGTGTTTTTCTATAGGAGTTGCAGAACTGGTCGTATAGCGACACCTTTGTGTGTACTGGAAGTTCAGATATCTCAACACGCTTCACTCTCTTCACTTCGTTCTCTGGAACCCATTCATCTTCGATCCTGAAATGTAAGGGTAGATATTATTATATTATTTTAGAAAGCCACACAGAATGTGACTGCAAACACAGGATCGTTCTTCTGTATGTATGATGATCTGTAATAAATTCATTTAATCGATCCTGATTTTATGTTTAGATTTGGGAGTGTGTTTGCAGTTTAACTATGGGTTGCGAGCCCATGTGACTAAATATAGAAAAGTGACGATCATGCAAGAGTTGTTAGACTTAACGAGCGTATGAAGAAATTAAATGTGAAACCTACGGTGCTTAGTACATAACATGTAGTAATGTTAAAAAATAATGAAGCCACTACAACACAATGACACCATATTTTAGGGCTGGCAACCCTCAGAGATGCTAGCAAAAATAAAAACATTATAAGTAAATTTATAATTAAAAATTTTTTAACTTGTTTCTATTATATTATAGGCGTTATGACATAATTATTTACAGATTTGTTTACAATAATAATGTTAGTTTTAAATGCTAGCAACTCATCCTTTTTCGTGCTTCTGTGTGGCCCGGGGAAGAGGCAACAAAAATTTAGACGTTTAAAGTGTGATTATAATGTAATAAATAATGTTACATGATAATTGTGTAACAACAATGTCGTCTATCACAACAATGGCATTACAAGAAGCAACAAAGTTGAAAGGATCAGTTGCATACATTTTTACATTTTTAAATTATTAATAAGCGTTTCAAATTAATATTATTTCTCTTTGCATTTTGTTTAAAAGTATTTAAATTATACCAGATGCATATGATCCCTACAATATTGTAAAAAAAGGTTATACATAGAAGCCAAATAAACAAAATCACATATACATAGTTTAAATGCAAAAATTGTGCATACATCCTCTAAAGAAAAAAAACTTACGGGACATAGAAGATCGAAATCGCTAGAACGCTCTAGAAAACAAATTAGCGTAATAATGTGAATAATAAAAATTAAATTAACATCGATCGTCTAAAATCATTATTAATTAGTATTGAAAATGAAATAAAAATTGCATGAACGAGTGATCATAAAATGCAATCTATTGACATCAACGGACAAGGACAAAAGGTTCCAAACGACCCACCTGACGTTACCTGTGTCAATATCAACATTACTAGAAAACCTGACAAATTTGCAGCTGTAAATCTTCTTAAATATTATTAATTAATGAATAATACTTATTATTAATATTAGAAATACTCATTAAAATTTATATTTGAGAAAACTCAAAACAGACCTGTCAGTTATTTATAGAAAACTCGTAAATTCAGTTTTTATGAGAAAAAAAAAATACTTTTTAATATTGAATTAAATAAACTAAAACCACACTCCCATCGAAAACGTTGCAATACTTCTTTAGTACTTGTATAATACGCATAAATAACTCCAAACTCAATGCTTACCTGAAAAATATAATATGTGATACAGACACATATATACAGTTTTAACTACAATTATGACTTTAGTATTGCTAAGTTTTATTGCAATTATGTTACATATATAAAGTTATTAATTAGTTTTAAGATATGTACAGTGAGGTTGCACAAAAACATGACTCATATTTTACTTAAATCAGATAAGTAGTTTTTGAAAGAATGATAAAAACCAACACAAAAAATTTGCATCATTTAAAATAATTTTGTTACAATTTAAATGTTACAATTTTCCATATTGTGTATGTTAAGTAACAATTAATTTAAAAGCAACATACAAGGACATCCTGTAGTTATATTCGCATGCACTCATTCACATTTCATACGAGCTTTCAGTATGTATATATACACTCTCGATTATTGTATTTCTTATCATTTTTTATACAACTAAAAATGCATTATATGTTATTTCTGTAAAATAAACATACATTACAATTTACTTACATAAACATACATTACTATCGAATAGAGAAGTAAGTAATAAACAAGCGCACTCACTCACTCACTCACTCAACCACTCAATCACTCACTCACTCACTCACTCAACCACTCAATCACTCACTCACTCACTACATACTACATTCATCTATTTTTTTTTTTCAAAACTGTGGCGTAATTGGTCCCCTTCAAATAAACGTATATTAATATCATACAAATCCAATGTATGTTTGTGTATTTATATAGCAACACTTATAAGTAGATAAGTCTACCTGCTGTGCATCACCTATTTCAATGTACATTGTAATTTATTTCTCTTTTAATTTCTTTTGTAGTGTGCAATAAAGAGATATATAAATATTACATGTAACTCGAACTAACACACACATACATAAAAAAGGACAAAAAGTCCTACTACTATTATACCTCCTAAATGTATCCTACAATTAAATTGCTAAACTATCAAACAGAAATCCACACAAACAATACCCAACACCCTTCGTCACTAAGCCAATAACAGACCATATCTCCAAATGTGCAACCTAATCTCGCTATCCCACACCTAATAACAAGGCCATATTTAAACTAGCAACTCTACAGCATCAATATAATAAAACAAAACATAAGGCCATGTTCACATTGGCAAACATCCACTGTCTTTGTCACAAAACAAAACGTAAAGCCACGTACACAACTTGCAAACGTCCACTGTCAATGTCACTGTCATAAAACAAAACATAAGGCCACGTTCAGACTGTCAACCATCATCATTGTCTTATAACATACAAAGAATCTCAGCTGCGCTCACGTTCGCACATTCACAAAACATAAGCCCACACCCACACTATCATCAACATATAAGGCAGTACTCACACATGCGGCGGGTAGTACGTGAGCAGCGCCTCCCGCCTCGCCTCCGCGGCGTTGTAGCGCGTGGCGGCGAGCGAGGCGTGCAGCGTGAGCGTGTGCCGGCCGGGCGGCTCGCGCAGCGGACACGCGCCGCCCAGCCGCCACCGCGTGCAGCGCGAGAGACGCCACGCCAGCCCCTCCATGGTGCCCGCGTCGAAGAAGTCGAACATTCGCGCTGGAATTAATATATTAAATTATACTAATATTATAAACAGGTAAAGTTTGTGAGTTTGCGACGTTGTAGGGGGTAATCTCTGGATCTACTGAACCGATTTAGATGAAATTTGGTAAGAATATAGTTTGAGACCCGAGGAAGGACGGGATACTTTTTATCCCGGAAATCATGCCTTAAGGAGATGAAAATGGGAATGAAAGTTTGTATGTGGAATCAACCTACGGACGAACCCGAGCGAAACGAGGGTGTGTCGCTAGTAATATATAACTAGCGACTCGCCCGGTTCGTCTCTAGTTACATTTTAACGTTTACTATAAATTTCTCAGAGATGAAATATTTTCCCACAGTAAAAAGTATTCTATATGTTGACCCGGATAATCAGATACCATCATACCAAATTTCATCAAAATCTATCCAGTGGTTTTCTCGTGATGCGGTAACAGACAGATAGACCGACAGACAGACAAAAATACTAAAAACTATAGATTCGGCTTCGGTATCGATAGTAATCGGGGGGCACGGCAGTGCCCCCGCCAAGTCGAGCAAACCAGTCGAGCAAAAAAGGGCACGGCAGTACCATCCTTTTCTCGAAGGGATTCAGAGCATATTCCACCCCCCCATAACTTCGTTATGGATAAAGCTAGAAGCTTGAATTTTGAGTGACTAAGAGAACATAATAAAACTAGGTACATTTCCAAATTACATTCAATTTGAACCAGTAGTTTATGAACTGTTGCAGATCAAAATTCGTTAATATCGTCACTCACTCACTCACCGATCATCAAAATTCTAAGGTACTTCTAGCAGACATAGAAAGTTCAAATTTTGAACATAATTCGTGTTTACTCTATAACCCAAGGAAAAATTCAAACATCACGCAATTTCAATCCTGTTTTCGAGATATACAACAAACTGCATCAGTAACTTTGTAATCTCATACAAATAGATATGCGATATATGGGATTACAAAGTTACTTGTGCAGTTCATACATATAATTGTCGTCACTTGCAATGTAAAAGGAGGTTAGGTTAGTGTTTAACCTGTATGTATGTTTGTATGTTCGATCCTATGTCCCCTCGTAATTACTAACCTAATCACGATTTGTCTATTTATTTATTAATGTTGATATTGCAACTATTGTATACATTAGAAAAATATTATTCAAATGTGAAAATATTATTTCAAACGTTTTCAGTAGCTGTATACATTTTTATGCATATACAAATGGGTACATAAATACAACGTGAAGCGTGTATAGTGTATTACGAACTAATATTCGATTACCTGTTATTTATAATGAATTTATTAAAATATATACCTAATTACGACAAAACTTGACGATTACTTAATTTTTGACGACACGTTTGGCTCAGTTTGTAGTGGCCCGGCCCTACTTTCTGTGCCGGCGGTCGCGGGTTGAGTCCCGCTGGGGGCATTCATTTGTGTGATGACTAAAGTTTGTACTCCAGTCATGGGTGTTTATATTTATAATATGTATGTATTTAAAGTTATATATGTGTAGTGTATCAACTATCTAGTATCCATAACACAAGCCTCGTAGCTTACCATGGAACTAGATGGTTCTGTGTGTTACTGTCCCAACATATTTTGAAACAAAGCTCGTATATTTTATTTTATAAAGTATGATGTTGATTTGAATTAGAAAACTTGTTAACATTTCATTGCTCGTAACTGTACACACCTAATAGAACATGGAATATAGAGGTCATGAAATATCAATCTCTTCGAAAATTACTAAAAATGGCCAATGGAATCAGTGAATGAAGTGAATTCTATTAAACTGCATCAAAATTGACTGAACAAGCAATAATAATTAAGTATAACAACCTTCGGGATTTACCTACGATGCCGCAGATAGACACATAAATCTACAAGTTTTATTAAACTTACGTAAGTTCAATATCAGTATCGGGGTAGGTATTTAGGGTCAACAATGAAATTAAATTATTCATTAAATTAACTATACATATTTATACTTAATGCATAAGATAGTAGTAATGAAGCCCAGGAATCCGCAATTTCCGAATACAATAGACTTAGATTTTTTATCATCCAGACTTGTCAAAATTTGTTATATCAAAGCTCTGAAAAAAGCCCACAGAGACAGGGAGTGGGCTTTTAAAAAGTCCTTAGCTGACACACAAGAAATAGTACAAGAAAAGGGAAAAAGAAGAAATATTTACAAAAAGAAATGAGATCCCATCAAAAACATACTGTAAAAATATTGCAAGTCTCGCAACGCATCTCTCTACCGCAAAAAGCTATGAGATATAATGTAAAACCAAGTCGGTTAATTTATTCATTACCTATCTATGGGAGCATCTATCCAACAACTTTGTCATAAATCGTTACCGAATTAGTTAAGTTACAACATTTTATAGTGACCGTATTAATATTAGATATATTTATTTCTTTAATTAATAGAATGACTTGGCCATCGCACGGAAACATAATCACATAAGAGTCTACTACTTTAAATAGTCCTAATTAAAAATACCATGACCAAGGTGGACGGAGAGAGATGCGTTGCGAGACTTGCAATATTTTTACAGTATGTTTTTGATGGGATAACTATTTCAAGATTTTACCAAAAATATTTAATTTAGTGATTCGACTCAGTTACAATTTTATTTCATTTCATTAATGATGAAACTATGACCTGGTGTAACACATGGCTACTGTTAGGGATCTAAAGACCCACCCAAGCGGAGCAAGAGTAGGTCACTAGTTAAATAATATTTTCTAGACAAATAAATATCTATGTACATAACCTGTGCCTGCCAAAATAATAAATTCAACTCACCAGACCAAGGCTGTCGTCGATACCGGAGCTTCTTTCCATTCCGTCGTATGAGCTTTGAAGAACTGTCTGTTGTTTTCTTGTTGGCATTGTTTGGTGATGCTTCATTGAAATGATTGTTGACGTGACGCTCTAGCAACGTCTGGAAATTTGTATCGTTGAAATTAAACACGGCTTAGATCTTTGAGGCAAAGGGAAGTGAAGAAGAATATAACATATATTTGATTAGATTGTATTGATACTGTTACATAATATAGATATAGTAAATTAATGACGTATGATATTTGAAGGCTAATTTGGGGTAACACAGTTAATACAAAAAACATCTCGAAAAATCCAGACAAAATTCTGAAATTAAATCATCTCATTTATTACTACATTCCTTAAGTTTAACACTATACTTGAATTCCTTGTCCTGTAAAGTACTCTGCATCCGAGACATCATAGTTATCCATCCTCTCGATATAAATAAAACGAAAACAATTTTCAGATAAAAACCAAAAAGGAACCGATTTCGGTAATAGATCTTTGTAATAAAATCTAAAACCCATTCGGTATTTTTTGATTAGATACGAAAAAAACGAATAAATACTCAAAAAAACTTTTTTATATGCAAAAGATGATGTTTTGCAAATATGAAAGAAAATAATCGTCAGTTTTCTCCTATTTTAAATGAAATATTTACTGGGCCAAATTAAAAAGCCTCTGTAGCGTAGCTTTGTTGTGGTACTTGGGCGCAATCAGTAGCGTCCTCTTCACCTTTAGAACAGAAAACATAAACAAGTTTATCGTCCCACAATGACATTCAAAGAGAATAAATCCACAAATCAAAATCTCCAGTGGCGAGATCACAAACAAGAAACTGTTTCACTAAGAATTTATTATTTACGACGACATTAATTTGAATTTTGAATAGCCAATAGGTATAAATACAAAATATAATTTAGACAAAGCTATGATTCGATGATATCGAAGATTTCTGTGATATGCCACGTGATCAATCAGTCATTGAATCACGCAACAAACCAGTACGAAATATAGCAATGGAGGACAGAAAAATTGAAGAAATTTTCGAAAATATATCTACAACGAATATGACCCAATCACTGATGATTGGTTTTGATTTGAAGACAAACAAATTAGCATTTTAAAATAAATCTTAATTTAATTCCGTGTCCATAAATTCGAAATTATCTCAACAATCAGAGGAATTTAACATATCATTAATTACAATAGCAATTAACGATGACGAAGAGATAATACACTGCGAATCTGTAAATACGGTCTTAACAACAGACTAAAACAAAAGGAAACAAAACACGCGACCGATTAAGTAATAGTAAAAACCAAAATATCATATCGTCAGAACGATTTAGACAATAACCCATTCAGTGTAGGGATGAGAGCGCGTTATTGTGGATTCGTTTTGGCGATGTGCATCGTGGTCCCTAAAATTACATATAAGAAATGGCAAAGAACGTAATTGTACCTGAGTGGAAAATCTGCGGTCGCATCCGTCGACGATGCATTTGAAGGGTTTGTTGCCGCCGTGAGACAGCGCGTGTCGCTCCAGCCATAGCCTCGAACACGAAGGTTTTCCGCGCACTTTACATTGCTCCCATAGACACACGTAATTCTCTTTGCCCGCCTGTGATTCCACGTGAGTAGACTGAAATGGTTAATTTGGCTACTGTATTAAAAGGAAAAATAACTTATATTTATTATTTTATGATAATTTAAAATAATATTATTTTAAAATTATTGTTAAAACCTACAATATGGGTAAATCAGCTATAGAAATTGTAGCGCTTGTCACTTTGTTTGCAATGTGACATACATAATTTTTTTTTCTTTATAACGACTTTATAAGAAGGTAGAATTTCTTATAAGTAGGTATATACAAAAATACTAACCTGCAAATGTTCCAACAGATCTGAATCGCTTTCAAACTCCCGCTTGCAGTTTTCCCACAGACACACTGTCACACTTGTTGTATCTGTACTAGAAGTCCTTTTGTTACTTTGAGGTTTAGTTAGATTTTTTGGAGGAAACCGTAATATTTTAGGTTGTTTTAGAATTGGGCTCTTTTGGCAGCTTTGCGTCTCTACTGAACTCACACTGATACTAAGAGATAACGAAGAATCTTCGTCGCACTCCTTGCTGGTTTGCGAATCACTCGGCGAATCTATAGACTTGTCTGTTCCAATACCAGATTCTGAAGACTCCGTGGTAGCATTACAAAAATCAGCTTCTATCACAGTACTTTGAACATTTGATGAAACATCCTTCAGAACGGTTATTTGTGTAAATATTGTTTCCTCTCTTTTGGCAACCTCTTCTACTTTCCTTAACTCCTCATTAGTGCTTTGTACATCTGATTCTTCTTTTATGTCTTCACACATTTTAATTTCTTTCTCTATTTTAGTAATAACTTCAAGATTCCCTGAACAACTACTAACTTGTGCAAAAGGCCTCGATGAAAATTTATAAGAATCTAATGGAACAATGTTATTATTTACAGTTTTTGACAGCCATGGAATATCACACTTTAGGTTTGCCATCTCACTTTCGGGTTCCTTTACAGTACTGCTAGGCGGTTCCGTACCCTGAATCGGGTTGTCAGGCGGTTTCACCGTGGCTCTTGGTATACTGCTCGAGTGTAGCGTTTGAGCAGTAAAGTTAGCAACCATGGGCGGTGGATGATGAACCATGGGGTTCGAACAAGACGTTTGTGAAGACGACACTGAGTTTGTGTTAGTGTAGCTCCACGTCTCTTTCACATTCATATTTGGCACTGAAGTCACTATAAATCCTGGCTGAGGTACTAGAACAGGATGACTGAGATTAACGGTGAAATTTGGTTTTGGTTGAACTGTCATTCCCATAGCTGGAAGTCCTGGAACGTTCTTATTCATCACCGGTATCGACTGACTAGTGACGGGCCCAGATTTATTGGCAGTTGCATAGTTAGGTGGGATAGTATTCGCAAGTTTTAATAAGGTCCCATTTATTAGAATTTGTGCAGCTTGTTGGTTTTGTAAATGATCTTGTCTCTGTGCTGCTAACTGAGGATTTTGCGGTAGTACAAAATTCGGCATTTTCGCCATCAGGTTTGGTATTTGAACTACAGTTCCGTTTATATTTTGCATAAGCGGAAAAACAAATTGTCCGTTCAATTTTGTCGGGCTTGACACATTGACATTTGTTCGATTAAATGCAGCTATATTACCTTGTTGGTTCATATTAAGGTTATTCTGCGCAGATATTCCATTTTGGGGAATCCGTAACGTAGTCAGCATGACATTTTGAGGAACCGCAACAAATGAAGCTAAATTATTTGATGTCACGGTACCGTTGCACTGTTGTGGAATATTTATTTGATGGCAATTTTGTAAATTAGCTACAGGTACATTCAAATTGCCGAGACTTCCATTAACAGTCATAGACATTTGTCGGACGCCGTTTGGAATATTCATCTTTGGTGCCGTGCTCGCTTCACCAGGAATACCTTTGACGGAAGAGTTATGCAATGAGTTTGTACAATTTTGTTTTTGTAGTTGAACCTGTTTAAGATTGTTAGCTTTAGACCAAGTTAAATTTTTACTATTCGCAATACAAGCTGAAGATTTTCTATTGGTTCTTTTAGAAGGTTGTGCGTTCCTTCTAATTGGTTCCTTTTTTACAGGCTTATTAATCAGATTCAAGTTATTTGAGCCACATGTAACTCCATTCATTCTACTATCTAACTTAGTAGTTGAGCTAACAATTCCATTTATTTTTGTTGTATCTTGTTTAGTAGCTTGTTTTTTTAACGACTGATTCATTGATGTGGCTGGTGCGATTCGTAATCCGACCAAGTCGCTCGACGCCGGTATTGCAACTTTGGGTTTATTTATATTCACATTCATACTGGCGGATGGGCCCTGGGCTAGTTTCAAGTTTTGTTTTTTACTATCGGTTAACCCATTAAAAAAGACTCCTTGATTCTTTTCTTTATTGAACGTATTGATCCCGTGCCGGACCTCCATAAAACCGTTCATTTTATGTTTATCTTTGACATCTTTAGATCTGCTATCCTTTATCCCGTTAATATTGGAACTCATTGATGTTTTAATTAAGTCGGTCTTAGAACAGTCCATATTAACTGAAGGTTGATTTATCTTTGTAGCCGCTTCTGCTTGTTTTCCAACGTCAAGCAATTTGGGACTTAGCGTTTGGGATAGATACGAAATATATTTTTCGAGATCATGCGTGACGCCGTTTTTGGGTAGGCACTTTTTCTTGGTGTCATCGTTGCTCATATTGGAGTCGCGCTTGACGACGTTTTGCGGCTTCATCTTATGATTGAAATACTCTGTTATGCGGCGATGAATGGGTGGATTGGGGCGTCGCAGGGGCGCGGGTTGAGCCGCGAGGCGTCGCGGTCCCGGCGGCGCCGGATCGCTCGCCCAAGGCGGCATGCGCGCGCCCGCGCCCTCTTCGCTTGTGCTGCAAGCCGACTCAGGGCTTAGAGGCGAACGCGGCTCAGTGATGTCGCTACCGCTGCAACCACTGCCGCTTTCCGTCGAACTCAGCACCGCCACTCCACTGAAAATAATAGAAAACATTTGTTACATTATGGGTTTCGTTAAGCAATAAAAAATATGTTTAACGCTATTAGAGCGTTAAAATTACACGCCTAATTATTGGAACTGATTTAATAAAATTCAGTCATCTATCAATGTAAAATTAATATTTATTATTATTAAATAAAACTATCTTTTCGGATTATTTCGCGGATTTATATTGATTTTTGGACGTTTCGAATGCTTTACAGCATCCATGGTCACGGGAGAGACTGAGGTGTTACATGTCTTAAAGATATAGTTGTTACAGACAGCCTACCCACAATTAACAAAATGAAAATTGCACCAATTACATTACAATATTTTTAACTTTAAACATTTTTTATAATTTTAATTATAATTGAATATGGAAAATTATTTATTTAATTTTTGCTATTATTTTTATAATTACTACAATTTTAAAAATATTAATTAGTAATCTATATTTAGTGTTGCCATTATTATATTTATAACCATAAATAAAAATATAAAAATATAGTATTAATTATTAAAGCCATATAATTGTTCTATGTGTAATTTAAAAAGTTAAAATTAATTACGGATAATCATTTTAATTTAGTTTGCTATTATTTAAAAACAACTTACTAAGCAACACTATTAAAATATACTTTTACAAATGAAAAATATTAATCTGATAAGCTGTCATTTTGATCTACACAGTATGAACTTACTACATCTGCCTGTCTGTTATGTTTATATTTATTATTTGATTTTATTATATTAATAACAGGATCCCATGATGATGGTAGTACCCAGCCATCTTCCCTATTGAAATTTGGATGTTTTTTAATTTCTATGGCTTCTCGAATCATTCTAGGGCGATATCGGTTTTCTTTCGCCAGGATTTGAGGTCTATCGAAACGAATATAATGGCTTGGGCGGTCCTGGCTATGTTTGCAGACAGCAGATGTTGTATTGCGACGGTGCTTCACATCAGCTATGTGTTCTTTGACCCGGGTTCTAATGGATCGCTTTGTTTGTCCAATGTAAGAGAGCCCACAATCACAATCAAGCTTGTAGACTCCTGCATCTTGTAGAGGGATGTGGCACTTGACAGGTGGTAAGAACTGACTAATTTTCTTTGGCGGCTTGAAGTAAGTTTTAATTGAAGCTCGCTTTAGAATGTAGCCAATCTTGTCAGTGACTCCTTTCATGTATGGCAAGACTGCAGGGACGCGCTCGACTGTGGCTGGTTTCACTCGGTCACTGTGACGCAGGCGCGGCACTTGCAGCTTGTTGTCACGTAGAACTTGCTTGACATGTTGCAGTTCTCCGGCCAGGTGTTGCTCGTCACAGATCCCGCGCGCTCTCTGAAACAGAGATTTTCCCACGGTAGCTAACTGTGAAGGATGGTGGTGAGATTCACCGTTCAGGTACCTATCAGTATGGGTCTTCTTTCTATACACAGTATGACTCAAGGTGTTGTCTGGGTTACGTTTAACTAATACATCTAGGAAAGCTAAGGTTTTGTCCGATTCTAATTCCATTGTAAATTGAATTTTAGGATTTATAGAATTAAGGTGTTCTAAGAATACAGTTATTTTATCAGAAGGTAATATTGTAAAAGTGTCATCTACATACCGCTTGTAGAAACGAGGGGTCACGGGTGATGTGTTCAGAGCAGTCTCCTCGAAGTCCTCCATGAAGATGTCGGCTACGACGGGGGAGACTGGCGAACCCATGGCCACTCCATCCACTTGCCTGTAGAATTCACCATTCCACAGTAGATAGCCGGATGTTAGGCAGTGTTTTAAAAGTTCAATGTATTCTATTGACATGTTGTGATCTAGTAGCTTCCTAGATATTATTTCAATACAGTCTTCCACTGGTAGGCTGGTAAATAAAGACTGTACATCGAAACTAACCATTGTTTCATTGTCCATGAGTTTTAGGTGTTTAACTTCATTGACAAAATGGTAAGAGTCCTTTGTGAACGCTCTTGTTAATCCTCTGAGTGGTGAGAGTACTTTTGCTACTAGTTTAGCCAATTTGTAAGTCGGTGAGTCGATTTGACTCACAATTGGACGTAGCGGAGCGTTAGTCTTGTGTATTTTCGGAAGTCCATACAACTTAGGTGGTTTTGCACATGATGGAATAAGATTTTTAACATCAAGATTTAATGTGTCGGAGTGTTCCTTAATTAGCTTTTTAGTATTATTTAAAACGGTGGTAGTTGGATCCGTTTTAACCTTTTTGTACGTGCTCTCGTCCGACAAAAGTTGTTTTATTTGCATGTGCAAAACCACCTAAGTTGTATGGACTTCCGAAAATACACAAGACTAACGCTCCGCTACGTCCAATTGTGAGTCAAATCGACTCACCGACTTACAAATTGGCTAAACTAGTAGCAAAAGTACTCTCACCACTCAGAGGATTAACAAGAGCGTTCACAAAGGACTCTTACCATTTTGTCAATGAAGTTAAACACCTAAAACTCATGGACAATGAAACAATGGTTAGTTTCGATGTACAGTCTTTATTTACCAGCCTACCAGTGGAAGACTGTATTGAAATAATATCTAGGAAGCTACTAGATCACAACATGTCAATAGAATACATTGAACTTTTAAAACACTGCCTAACATCCGGCTATCTACTGTGGAATGGTGAATTCTACAGGCAAGTGGATGGAGTGGCCATGGGTTCGCCAGTCTCCCCCGTCGTAGCCGACATCTTCATGGAGGACTTCGAGGAGACTGCTCTGAACACATCACCCGTGACCCCTCGTTTCTACAAGCGGTATGTAGATGACACTTTTACAATATTACCTTCTGATAAAATAACTGTATTCTTAGAACACCTTAATTCTATAAATCCTAAAATTCAATTTACAATGGAATTAGAATCGGACAAAACCTTAGCTTTCCTAGATGTATTAGTTAAACGTAACCCAGACAACACCTTGAGTCATACTGTGTATAGAAAGAAGACCCATACTGATAGGTACCTGAACGGTGAATCTCACCACCATCCTTCACAGTTAGCTACCGTGGGAAAATCTCTGTTTCAGAGAGCGCGCGGGATCTGTGACGAGCAACACCTGGCCGGAGAACTGCAACATGTCAAGCAAGTTCTACGTGACAACAAGCTGCAAGTGCCGCGCCTGCGTCACAGTGACCGAGTGAAACCAGCCACAGTCGAGCGCGTCCCTGCAGTCTTGCCATACATGAAAGGAGTCACTGACAAGATTGGCTACATTCTAAAGCGAGCTTCAATTAAAACTTACTTCAAGCCGCCAAAGAAAATTAGTCAGTTCTTACCACCTGTCAAGTGCCACATCCCTCTACAAGATGCAGGAGTCTACAAGCTTGATTGTGATTGTGGGCTCTCTTACATTGGACAAACAAAGCGATCCATTAGAACCCGGGTCAAAGAACACATAGCTGATGTGAAGCACCGTCGCAATACAACATCTGCTGTCTGCAAACATAGCCAGGACCGCCCAAGCCATTATATTCGTTTCGATAGACCTCAAATCCTGGCGAAAGAAAACCGATATCGCCCTAGAATGATTCGAGAAGCCATAGAAATTAAAAAACATCCAAATTTCAATAGGGAAGATGGCTGGGTACTACCATCATCATGGGATCCTGTTATTAATATAATAAAATCAAATAATAAATATAAACATAACAGACAGGCAGATGTAGTAAGTTCATACTGTGTAGATCAAAATGACAGCTTATCAGATTAATATTTTTCATTTGTAAAAGTATATTTTAATAGTGTTGCTTAGTAAGTTGTTTTTAAATAATAGCAAACTAAATTAAAATGATTATCCGTAATTAATTTTAACTTTTTAAATTACACATAGAACAATTATATGGCTTTAATAATTAATACTATATTTTTATATTTTTATTTATGGTTATAAATATAATAATGGCAACACTAAATATAGATTACTAATTAATATTTTTAAAATTGTAGTAATTATAAAAATAATAGCAAAAATTAAATAAATAATTTTCCATATTCAATTATAATTAAAATTATAAAAAATGTTTAAAGTTAAAAATATTGTAATGTAATTGGTGCAATTTTCATTTTGTTAATTGTGGGTAGGCTGTCTGTAACAACTATATCTTTAAGACATGTAACACCTCAGTCTCTCCCGTGACCATGGATGCTGTAAAGCATTCGGAACGTCCAAAAATCAATATAAATCCGCGAAATAATCCGAAAAGATAGTTTTATTTAATAATGTCAAACATTCGCGTAAATCTAAGAAAGTATTAATATTTATTATTTTTACATATCGAGAACTTACAAAATGTATTTTATTAACATCCATGAAAGTAAAAGCAAGTATAAAACGTCTGTTACAGGAGGCGTATCTCCATTAACGTTTCTAGTTTAATGACAATCAGCTGTTGATTGCTTGCAATCGATCACACGCGATAGAGCAAGTAGGCGAGGGAGCGGGACGGCGCGTCGTAAGGTGCAATGCCCTGCCGGTCCAGTGCAGTGACGCAACGAGACGCGTCGCTGCACTGACCGACCGACGACCGACGACCGATGCGCATTAGAATTATTATTTTCGGTATGACATTCACCGCACGTAACTCGACGCTATCGACTGTGACGAATGTAGGAATTATTTAACTTTAGACCGATTTTTTAAAGACCTTAACTTACTCTATGATGTACATACATACATATGCATGTAAAGGCAATGTGAATACTAAAAGGTCTGTTTATAAATATTCTCAGATCTACAGGTAAATAAAATACATCGTAAAATCTCGTCTATACATTGTTCAATATGTTCTAGTGTCTCGAAATAAGGTATATTTTCATTGGATGAACGCTACGAAGATTATATCGGTTCTATATAGGCGATAGGGTGTTGCCCGAGCCGTCAAGGATGCACCCTCACCCTCTTTTAAGCTACGCGCACAGTTAGGGTTTCATTCCCCTGTTTCTTTCACTTCTTAGAGGAACTTTATCACTAATTGACCT